CAAATGTGAGCCATGTGAGCCTCGGCTCTGCAGTTGGGCCCACCATCTCCTGATCAAATGTTGCCATGGAGCACTGAACTTCTTAAATGGCCCACTTACCCCTCTGCACAAAGCTAGAAAATCATTCAGTCTCTTCTTCACGTCCACGTGCTAATTTTTGGTTCATTTCTTTTATCTCCAAGACAAAGCTGCAAGATTGGCAAAAATTTTAACCCGAGTGCTTTTAATACGGACCGAAGTTAAACAAAAGAGCGACTGAATATTATTTAGAATGCATGTAACACAAAAATGTTTTATCCCCCTAAATTGCATTAGGGAACAAAGCTCTTTCTAATTTTTTTCTCTTCTGTGGCTTTCAGATTTTTCTGTAAGTTCCACATGAAGGTTGTTATTGAATCGTTCTTCAATATCAGATGAATATTGTTGCCAGAGGAGTGGGAGGATTATTGTGAGATGGGACAGGAAAGATGCTGTGTGATTTGTCTTCATGTTCATTGGCCCAGTCATGTTCTTCCAAAAAGAAATGAGGAAAGAGAAAGTCCCTGTTGGATCAGTAGTAGTTCTGAGATTAATGGAGTGAGAGCTGAGGTTTTTGTCAGGTATTTTAATGTTCTTACTCCTGAAGTATTGGAGTTAATGGAATTTTAAATTAACACGAGAGAATATCAATTTGTATGAAATATATCACTGGAAATATGCATAAATATAGGCATTATCTTATTTCCTTCTGTTAGAAAATGTGGTAATAGCTAGTTTTAATCTTTAAAAGCAATCTTGAGCTTTTCTTGACTGGTTTAAATCTCCAATTATCCACTTATGAGTACATGTAGCATCTCCTGAATAGTGCCTCTTGTCTGATTATGAATTTACTATTAACTTTCTTCTGATGATTAGGTTATGATCTGTAGTTTGGGCAGTGTCAGAAGGGACCAAACTGTAGACTTTAACGGCAGTGTGTGGTCTTCTATTCTGAACTCCCTGTGGATAGCTCCCATTTTTCCTCAGCAAGAAAGCACTTACGTTAATTGCCTCATTTCAAAGACATAGTAGCTCTTTCTGGGCTCTAAGTAGCCTTCCAAGCATAGCTGACGAGGTTTGGGACACCTGCAGCCCGACCAATTTGGGGAGGAAAAAAAAAAAAAAAGCCATTAGTCTGCATGGAGGGGGAAAAAAAAAAAAAAAAATGAAGCGCTGAAGTTCAGAATATTATCAATGATGCTGTGTTGGAGCAGCCTGAAAGATTTGGCTTTTTGTCTATGCCTGGTGCTATCCAAAACAACATATAAAATTCTTTGTGGGCCCATTTTAAGAATGTCTTGTTCATTCAGAGGGGCCCTGTGTGCGCTGTTTGTTCCGAGGGCAGAGGCACCAGCCAACAGCTGATTCCTCCTCAGAGGGAAGCATTGCCTAATGGTGAGCACAGGAGCCAAAGACCGCTGGGACAAAGTGCTAAAGATAAACAGCTCAATCCCCGACTGTTCAAAGGCCTCAATAAAGCCTCTGATTTTCACTTTTGGGGTGGGACTCTGCTGTCCCCACCTGCAGGCTGGCCCCTGGCGTGAGGGGGTGCTGGTGTGTGTGATCCCCCTGGGCCCCTCAGGGATGAAACACCGCCTTTCCGTGGCACAAAGCTTCTCTGCAGATTTGCTTTCTCATCACCGGGGAAGGAAGAAACAACCCAGTCCCATTTTGTGGAGGTGCTGGACGGGAAGGGCCCAGAGGGGCTGAATGGCACCAGAGGGTGCTTCTCTGGTCAGATGGACTCGGGGGTTTTTTGGGCTGCCCTAATGAGTGGCTGGTTCCAGTAATTTGGGTAGCAGTGAAAATACAGACTGCTTTTACGCACTGGTTTTGATTTGTTTCAACAGGCTTCAGCAGCAGCTGGACTGTTAAATAGTAACACTTCCAAAATTGAAGGGGATGTTTTAACCTTTCTGAGCATTAACACGGTTCCTACCTTTCCACCCTGAAGATGGAAGTGAAAATAACTCTCAAGGTTTCACTTCACCTTTATATTTGTGCCTTTCTTTCATAATGAAATTTTTTCCTGGCAGAAGTACTTGATCTGTGAGGGGTCACATAAGCTTGGCACATTGGAAGCTGATGGGGTTATGAATTTAGTGAGCAAGTGGGTGCATTGGGGCAGGTTGGTTATGGGGAGATTGTTTTATTTCGCCTCTTGAAATACAGAGCAATACATCTTACTTTGGAAATAGAGTGCTGTACATCTGTTATTAAGATTTGCCTTTCGAGTGAATGAAATGCATGCAGTCATTGTGAATGTATAAGGGATATGGCCTCATTTATTGTCTGTATTTTTAATTTCTTGTAAATTTCTTAAATTTATTTAATTAATTAAATCTTCATTTTTTTTTTAATTTCTGTTAAGTAACTTGGGAACTCATTTGATATTTTTTGCTGTATTCATGCGGCTGTTTGTGGTTCATCCATTTACTGAACACTGCACCCAACTCTGTGACAAGAGTTGTGTTCTCAGGACATAAAAGGGATAAGGGGAAAAGCAATTTGGATTTTTAGTTTGTTGTTGTAATTGTTTTGTTTTGAAAAAAGCAGTAAGGTACACCATTTCTGTTTGCAGTGATGTTTTTATGCGCTGTGTAGGTCAGACTAATTTTCGAGAAGGAGGTTTTTTCCTCCTCTTGAGGAGAAGTGTATAATAGGCATTGTGTACAGCCAGGGAGTCCTTGAGCTTTTGCTGATGGCTTGGAGCAGTTGAGTGGCTGGAGATGGAGTCAGGCTGAGCTTTGAGAGGCAGCTCCTGAGCATGCAGTAATAACTAATACACTCCTTTCAAAAGGTCAGCGAGCACTGTGGAGGAGATGAAAGCTGGGAGAAAAGGTGTCTTCATTCTGTGCTTGCTTGGAAAGTGCTGTTTTTTTCAGACATGGATAATAGAATGTGGTAAAGCAGGAAAACCGTATTTTGCCTTTGTTTCGAAGTTCAGGGTATTATTCTTGGTTGTTTCTCCTCATTCTCTTGAGGTTGTGTTTCACCACAGGGGTACTAAGAGTGTTGTCTAAACAGAACTTTTCATTTCTAGCTGTGCTGTATCACTGGAACAAAATACTGATGTGTGCACAGGAAGCCAGTATCACTGTATCGAATGAATTTAGTCTCAGGCCTCAGAGACCTTGTTAGTGCATCTTCAAATGAATAAACAGGCTTCTTTCCTCTGCTACTCTTGACCTCACTTTTTCTGACTGAGGACTGACTGACACTTCATTCTAGCAATAGAAAATCTAATTCTGTTGCTTTTTTTTTTTGTTGTAAACAGTCTGTTGATAAGAAAGCCTCTAGTGCAGGTGTTTTTCACTGAACGCTGCTCTACTTTGTGATAAAAATCACATAAAACAAGCAAAACCTTCCTGTTGAACTACACATATTTCCATCAGTATCCTGTGTGCTGTCTGTCAGGGTTGTCTGATACTGTTTTATAGTCTTTAATTGAAATATTTTTGAAACCTTTGTCTTTCAGAGAGGGCTGCTGTGAAAATATTTCATGAGAAATTGCATTTTTCCATAATTAGCAAGAAGCAAAAGGGATTCTGGCAGGCAAAGGAGAGTGCATGCATTGCTTGTTTCCTGCCCCGTGCTCGTCAGTGACCCATGGCCAGGCAGTTAGTGCCCCACAGATCTTGAAAATGCCTTTATTTCTGGAGTCACTAATGGCCAAAGGCATTGTTCCAGCTGTCCACCCCCAAATATTTAACATTTTTGTTCTTGCTTACAGGTGCACAGTTACACTGCTGATTTCCTGAAATGGCCATCTGATTAGTGATGGAACTAGAAAACTCAGATTAATTTTTCAGATTATGTTCTGGTAACTTTTTAGTTTCTGTTGCATTTTCAGGAAATAGAAAGGTGGAGTGTGACATCTGTAACAGTAAACACGGTGGTGGTTTAGAGATGTAAATACTAAAGCTTTATGCTTGAAAACCAAGGCTTAAACTCGTATGTTCTGTGCTTGCCTGGGCAAGGGAGAGGCGTTTTGAAATGCTGAGTGCAGAGTTGAGGAAGGGTCAGGAACAGCTCAGTCAACTGCAGCTAAAGCTGCTCCTCCTAACCTGAAAGTGACAATTTTTGGGGAAACCAAGGTAGTAAATAAATCTGTATCTAGATTTGTTTCTCAATGTCCAGGAGCAAAGAAAGAGCTTCCTTCTACTCCTGCTTGGAGAACAGAGTCTCCTCAGGGCCTGAGCTCATCCTGGTCGTGATAATTTACTGCTGCACTTTAGATGGAAACCTTGATAGAGCATTTAATCCCTGCCCAAGAACCATTGTACTCAGTGCATATAGTTTAAATGCCTCATCTGGGTTTTTCCTCCTTTTACATGCTACTTTTAGTCTGTGGGTGAACATGTTGCCTTTTCTCAGTCACTTCCCTTAAGCTGTGTATAAATACGCGGGATTCTTGAGAAGGTCTTAGGTCAGGCACAGGTTGCCAAGTTGCTTTGCCATGGAGCAAAAATATTCACTGTAACATCATATATTTTGTTCTCTGCAGAATCCCGTGCTTAAAATATTTCCTTTGGGTTTCTGGCATTTGCTACACCCTCTGCTTTGCTGTGAAGCTTAGTAGCAGCTTTCACGTGGCAGTCTTCCAGATGAATATTGATTATTTTGAATTATGTTAAATGTTCTGTACTTTGGGTGATAGCAGACTGTGAGTTAAAAACAGAGCCATGGGGAAGAGCTTGGGTATAGTAATTTCCTGTCCCCCAGCTTCCTGACAGCTTCTTAATTTGAGACTATTCAAGTACATTTAATTGTTGGCACTGAAACCTTACTTATTATAATCCAGTTTCCTGTTTGCAAGTATCACCAGTTCTCTGACAAACTGAATTTGGAGAGGAAAGTAGAATAAAATTTCAAGTGTGCTTGTATTTGTATACTCCACACATATACAACCCCCAAGCTAGTTACATAAAGCTGTTAAGCACCCTAGTGGTTATAACAAGATTATCTTGCTTTTTAAACAGGTATTGAGAAGATGGAGAAGACTTTGAACAGAATTCATCCAGTTTCTGATCCAGAAGCAACCTATTTTCTACAGGTGTCATGGGAGAAGGATTTAGGCACTGGCTTTGGTTTACTTCTTAGTGATTGTCGGTGTGCCTGGACTGGGACAGGTAATGGAAAGAGAAGTACATTAATTTAAGTTATTACTGCTCAATAATTCATAATAACTCAACTTGTATGGAAATTTCAGGGGCGTGTTTTCCCCAGTGGTAGAGGAGGTAGGGCTCATGATCTTCTGGGATGTAGCCAGAGAACTCTGAAATTTGGAGAGATTATTGTGTGTCAAAGCTAAAACTAATTCATTCAGCACATGGATATGCAATGTTTTGTTCTTTCTCAAGAATGTATAATTTCTTGGAGTGATGCTGAAGAAACATTTCTGTGTCTTCTCCAGATTCTTGAACAAATGTGTACGCAAGTTCCATTTACAAGTTGGAGTCCATGAAGACTTTAATTGCAGATGTTTTTTAAATGTTTTCATGAAATTTTAATAGCCAAAGGTAGCTGTATTTCGTACTGAAGTGAATTTTTGGGGAGGAAAAGGGACAATAAATGACTGTAGGAAAAGCTTAGCCTGTGGGATTTTTTTCTCCTCTCTGAAACCTCAGTAAGAGGATGTGTCTTTGCATATGTGCATGCTTCTGTCATTCATGCCCAGTCAGAAAAGGCTGGATTTGTGTGTTCCTTGAGGAATATCAAATACTTGATCAAAGGCCCTTCTCTTGGTAGCAAAAATATTTCAAAGGGAGGAGAGAATTGTGTATTTTCAGCAAACTGTAGGCAAAACCATTTTCTGGACACTTTGTCTGAATTATAAGAAGTGTCTATGAATTTCTTTTCTTCCTTCCTTCTCCCTGCCCTGTGGGTGTTGTTTCTCCTCAGTTCCTACATAAGCCAAGCTTTCATATAGGTCTGAGATTAGATAAATGTAAATTAAAATCAACACATAAATTAAATCTGCTTTTCCATATTCCTTTTTAACATTTCAAATACTCCATTGATCAGGGGTCCCTGAACAAAGCAAACTTTGATTTGAACGATTTAGTTCCAATTCTTATTTCCAGTAATGAAAGGTTTTTCTTTCTTGGCTTGACAATAATAATGTCAAGTTATTTTGCAAATAAGAAAAAGGGTGTTAACACTGACAAATACTGGTTTTTCTGTTTAAAGGATTTTCTCGTTCTTAGGCAGCTTCAAAATCCCTGTTTTAGAATTCACAAGAAGATGATTCTTATTTTTCCCAGTGAAGGCTGTGCCAATATAGCTGGGAATGTGTAGAAAAAATAGGTAGACACAGTTCTCATTTTGTGGAGTTCCTGTATCTGGTGTAATGGGGGATAATGATTTCCCAAAACAGAGGGGCAGTGAAAACAGGATGACCTCACTCCATTAAAAAGGAAAGAAAGAAACCCAAAACAGTTCAGCCGTGAGCGTTGGGTGCTCATCCAAAGGAGAGGTTTTTTTCTGCGCTGGAAGAATCTGATCCCTTTCTAATAAATCCTTATTGAATTTCTTGTCCCTTGAATAACTTCACTGGGGGTTGATGTTCTTGTGCATGAGGCTTTTCTACTGCACTGATCTCTGTTTCATTCAACGAAACATCAGTTTTAGTTACTTTCTAAAGTTATTACATCATTTTTGAGACTGCTTCCATTTTAAATTCAAAAGGGAAAGGGAAAGCAACGGTCAGAATATTCTTGCTGTGGGAAATCCCTTTTGGGTTTCTCATGCTGTGGATTATTTTCCTTGGCAAGACCTACCAGGAAGAGAGTGAGAGCTGTTGATGGAGTTGTCTTTTATGGGTTTTGTATGTTTAATGTGATGATGAAATGTGTTAGGAGTGCTGTTTAAGTCCTGCTTAAGGAGAGAGGGAATACAGTGAATATTGGAGGGGAGGAGAAGCACAAAAATGTGCAATGTAATCTAGTGTGTTACATTGATATTGGCTTAAAGACCTACATCTGTGAGGATTTATGTGTATTTTCCCAATGATTGATCAGTTCTGCTTGTTTTATATCATAAAGGAACAAGCAGCATATACAGGAGAAAAAGAACCTACAGTGCTCTATTGCAGTATTTTAGTGTCTTTCTTATTATTATTTTCTTGTTATTAAAAGTTTATCTTCTCAGTATTGAAATCAGTGTTCCAGATTACATCTTTTGTGTTTCAAACTTGCCTTTTTGCCTCTTTGCCTCACTCTGCATAGGATTCCACATTTCTCTCTGTACTGTTTTGGGTAACTTTAGGCAACCCGAATTGTGGATGAGTAGCAAAAAGGAAATAACCCATTTTCAGACAGGGAAAAAAAGAGGACAGAACTTCTGTAAAGTATTCCTGTATTCCTGTACATTTCCACAAATGAAAATGGCCAATGTGTGTTCAAGGGAAGAATAATCTCCCAATATTTCCTAGAATTACAGAATGCCTTGGATTGGAAGGGACCTTAAAAGTCACCTAGTCGGTGTCTGTTTGTATACACCTATAAATATATGTATATATTTAAAAAAAAAAATTATTTAAAAATTACAAATTATATGTGCTCTAAAATATATATAGTAAATATATATATAATGTGTGCTATTTATGTATAGTAAATGTATATAAATGTATTTTACACGTATAAGTGTGTATTAATTATGTTTTATATGTAATGTATATTGCATATGCTTGTTCACACATATATGAATATTTATTCCTCGCATAAATATTATTATAAATAATAATATTTATTCCTCTCTTTCTGGTAGTGTTTGAAGCAGACATTTCTAGGGAGGCTGCTGACATAGAAATGGACAGAGAAAAATATGTGGAAGAGCTGAGGAAAGCACTGATAGCTGGAGAAGAGTCAGCTGGCAGATACAACTTTGTGATTTCAAGAGATGAGCAGAACAAGGCCTGTCACTTCTCCTATGAAAGGAACCTGAAAGATGGCTCTGTAAGTAGATAAATGTTTAAATTTAACAGTTAAACGATGAGAATGAAATGAATTTTTGTATTTTATTATGGTCTTTAAAATCAGACAGATGTGTGATACTCATTCCAGATTGAATGAGTGTTGTGAGCTCTTTCATGGGCCGAGCTAAAAAGAAAGTGGGTGTTTTGGGATGGATGCTGCCCTTTTCATATTGTAGCCTCCTGTGCACTTCTGTTATCCTTGTTTCTTCATCCTCTCTCTGTCCTACTCACTTAAATTGGAAAAAAATAATATTCAGGCAATATTACTTTCAAATGCTTAAACATAGTTTTAAAATTAGCTTTTCTACTGCTTCAAATATTTTGCAAACTAAGGCTGAAATTCTTGCATTAAACTGCAAATGGGAAAGTGGTTCCATTCTGCTTGCTTGGCTGCAAAGGGAAGGACCCTCTTAAAATAGCAAAGAAACCAGTATAATCTGTATCTGTAAACATTCTGGATATTTCAGGTTGTGCTTTGCTGTGTTAAAACCTCTCTGAGGAAAAAAGCTAACTTAAGGTTAATCTCCTAGTTTGTACTTTTTTTTTTCTTTTAATTCTTTTACATGTTTTTTTCTTTGTACAGTATAGGAAATTTCAGCCCAGTTTGGCTCATGAGGAGCCAAAGTTAGGGCTTGTAAATCTACCTTGTAAGTCTGCATTATAAGTATTTCTGTGAATTTACCCAAGGCCATATTGACCCTAAACCTTGTGAGCTGTTCAATTGTTCACAACGATGTTGCAAGTTTAGGATCAAACTGTACACAGAAATTGAAAGCAGTAAGGTTAAAAATCCTTTTTTTTTTTTTTTTTTTGGTTCTGCTCTGTGTCACACATGTCCTAAATACAGGCCAGGTTAAATACATGCTATATTTTTTATTAAGTGAAAATATCCTTGTGTTTCTGGGGTCACCTAATACATGTTTCCAGCAATTAAGGCTTATGAGAAATATAATTTGTATGAAAACAACTTTATGTCAATTTGGGAAAATAATAATCCAGCCAAAGAGACTGAAAACGCAAATAACTTTGATTCCTATGTATGTTTTAAACTTTGGGTGTTGAAAGAGTATTTTTAGGTAAGATAGGATTTCTTGGGTGAAAATACACCTTTTTTTTTTTTCTCCTTCTGTACTAAACTAATGCCTACAAGTAAAATTGCCAAAGCAATTATGAAGAATTAAATAATAGAATTAGGTACTAGGAATAGATTTCAGGTGTGTAATAGAATATACTGCAAATGTTTTGCAAACTGTCTGTGGAAGTATTTGTAGTCTCTCTCTTTTAGCATAACATTAGGAAATTACTCTTCCTGGGCTCTGTACATCCAGAAGGCTGATATTCAGCTAAATATAAATTTAGCACAGAGGAAGCCTAGAGAAACTACTCTTCAGCTTAAACACGACTTAAATTCAGTGTTTATCTCTTATCAGTTTAATAACTAGCAGTTTTTTGTAAAAAAAAATGCAAAAACTTCTGAAATGCGTTGTTACACTTTACATTACAAAATGTTTATCAATTAATATAAGTAAAAATTTTGGCAAAATCTTTTCATGAAATTGGTACTTGGGTGGCTGAGACTCAATTTCGTACTCTTAGATAATCAGTAATATGCCTTGCCTTATTTTTTAGAAATATATGCATGCATATATACACAAATTCAGTTTATTAATTATTTTTAATGGGAGCTGCCTAGAACATGATGCTGATCACCAGCAGTCACCTGTGCCCAGTAATTTCCAGAGCTGAGCTCTGTCATTGTTCTCCATCTCACGTGGGACTAATGGCAAATCTCTGAGCTAGAAATTGATTTATTGTTTTCAGGGCTGTACCAAACCATGGCATTTGAAATAAGTTTTGCCTTCTTTGCAGCAACTTGCTGAAGCTCTGCTCCCATAAAGTATAATTATGTGCCAAAACTGTGTTGCGTGGTGTGTAGGAGTGCAAATGAAAGAAGTGGGGTGATGTTAAGCAAAGGAAAACGTAGGTATAATATTGGGAAATGGTTTCTGATATGGAAATTTGTTTCTGCTCAGGTGTTTTCTGGAGGAAGTGGTGGCAGCCCCGTTGTGCTCCTTGCTTTGAAAGGGACTGGCATGAAAAATGCATTTTAATTATCTGCACTGTAGTACATTTGATGACTTAACAAGGTGTTTGATTCACCTGTTGTTCAGTTAATAATGAACAGATAGGTTCCTTCCAGGAACCGATGTCTAGGTGTTTAAAAGGATGTCCTTACACCTACTCCTGCTTTGATGGAATGAAACCAAACCTGTATCTGCATGTAATTTTAAATGTGTTTATAACTGTCAGTGTATAATAATGACATGTGTGTGAGGTTTGTGTAATGGATGAATGCTGATGGTTTGTGTTTTGAATGGAAGGAAAACTTCCCCAAGTCATGAAGAATTCCTGTCTGATTTAGAGGGAGCACAGTGTGACAAGTTTGTTTTGTAGTTGTCTGTAAAGCTTAGAAGTAACAGAATAAGAAAAGTAATTTAACTTAAGGCACGTTCTCAGGGGTTTTAGTACTTATTTATTTTGAAATGTTGGTCAGGAGATAACGATGTCTGAGCTGTGGAAGCACTGGTTCTGGCTGTGCCTCAGGATAGGAAATCGTGCCTTTAAAAAGCCTGACGCGTTTGGTGAAAATCCCGACGGGTTGGGTGAAAATCCCGGTGTGTTTTTGTGAGAATTCCAACACGTTTGGTGAAAATCCCGGCGTGCTTGTGATTTGCCTCCCTCAGGACAGGTGTCTCTGCCTTTGGGAGCCGTGTTGGGGTGTCTGGGGTGTGGGGAAGGACCCTGGAATAACAGTGTCTGGGAATTGTGTGCAGATCCAGCTGCAGCTCCGGACGGGCCACACACACCGAGACCCCGGCGAGGGGCCAGGGAGGCTGGTCCAGCTCAACTGCTGCCACCTAAACAAACACCAGCCACAGAGGCAGTGATTTAGTGCTTGATCTAAGTAGGTGACCACTGGGAAGTAAATCTTTCCAAGTGCTTCAGCGAGTCACTCCACATATAATAAATAATGGAAATCCGGCAAGCTCTTTCTTTTTTTTTTTCTTTTTTTTTTTCCGGGGATGGCAATTAAATAGACTAAATAGCCTTTGATAAACAATTATTTGAGTGCTAGCAGTCTCTTTTTTTACAGTAATGTGGCGTTACAAATGCTCTGGTTTTTTGGGTTTTTTTTCCTTCCCTTTTGCTCAAGTTTGTAAACAGGGAGGGTAAAAGCTTAACAAATTCCACCTTAGATGCAGCACTGTTGCTAATTAGGATGATGGAAGAGATGCTGTTACTTGTCTCCTCCATTTCCTGTGGCTGCTTTTCCCTGGTTGGGCCTGTGAGTTCATTATAAGTTTACTAAGAGTTGAAAAAAAAAAAAGCGGGAGAAGATTGTGCTAACCAAAACTTTTCACAGAATACTGAACGAGAGAAATGAAATTGGCAGAGCTCTTTGTGCTGTCCAAACTCTCTTGGTTCAAGGTCTGAATAGTTACTTTTCTCCAAACCACTGAGGATGTGTTGTTTGGTTAGCAAAGGTCACTGAGAGTTCAGGTTGTTTCCCACCAGCAATTCCACCAGCTGAGGAGAGAGGAAGATGAAATGATTAATCCTTGGGTCAGTGTGAAAGTAATGGCTCTCATATCACTTGTATCACTCAGTGTCTTTGTACTTCAGGACCTGAGAGTGGACACTTGAATGGGTTTCTTGGAAGCCCATTTTGGAAATTGCTGGCTTCTAATGTGCCTTATGTAATGGAAATATTAAGTGTTATCTTGTAAGTAATCTCAGAATGTTGAGTGATGATTTTCCCCATCTCACCTCGGGTGTACCTTTAGGTATTTCAGGAAATGCAGTGCACCACTTCTGTAGCCTTGAGGTAAGAAGAAACATTTCTGAACGAATGATTCCCTACCATATTATTAGGTGTACAATACAAGGTGTAAGTGTACAAGGTGTGACAGAAGTTCTGGTGAATTAAGTAATTAAGCTCTGCTATTTTCCTTGCTTAGCCTATTAGATTATGTATATTTGATTGCTGCTTCTGATAAGCAGTAGTTTGGGGAAAATAATTTAAAATACTGGTAATTTATACCTTTAAAACTGGTGCTGTTGAAAAAGGAGGAATCAAACACTGTGTTGAATAAATTCTCTTCATTTTTTCTCAACCTGTTCGGATCTGTGTATTTCACTGGACCTATCCATTTAGATAAAAATGGGACTTTAATTGCTTTAAGGCCTACTGTAAATTACATTATAAAGAGCATCTTATTTCTTGAGTACAATGAGTGGCTAAATGCATTTCAAGTATACCTAACGTGTTAGTAAAATAACAGATTTGGATTTGTGCAAGAAATATTGTCAGTTGTCTTTTCTCCCTCTTGGTGTTATTGTGTTGTCTCCCCTGTTTCCCTCTTGATTCTTTCAGATTTTCCAATTCTGGAATACCTGCTGTGCATTTCAAATCCCTGTGTGGACATCAAGGCCTACTTTCATTTGCAGAACGGGGTACAAATGCTTTCCTTTCAGGAGGAAGAAATCTTTAAATCATGGCATATTGACAAGCTTTAGTTTCCCAAACACAAATTACAGAGGACAGTAGGTGCTCTGGAAAAGAGATTACTGTGTGTGGGCTCTAAACCTTCACTTCAAGAGCCCAGTCCTGTGTTTTCTGTGAGGGAGAACAGCAGCCAGAGCCTGAAAACCAATGACAATCTCACCTGTGGTTTCTCATCAGAAGCTCTCTCACAGCTCCAGAGGAACCATTCATCTTTCTTCCTGCAAAGGAGAGCTCTCAAGCTCATTTTAACTCTTAGGTTCACTAAAACAGCCCCTTTTCCAATATAAAATATTGAATGGATACGTTTAAACCCTCAGAGCAACTTCAACACCTCTATTATTTCTGCTGCAGTTACAGAAAATGTCTTGAAATGTAAAAAAAAGGGCAAATTCAAGATGTCCTGTGTTTTTTAA